TCGTGGTTGCCCAACGAAGATGCCTTTAAGTTCCAAATTGACAATGCTGTCATGGGTCTCCGAGCGACAAAACGGAACATACTATCGGTGACATCAAAGCTGTTTGACCCCCATGGCTTATTAAGTCCAATTGTAATTAGAGGAAAGATCCTGTTGCAGGAACTTTAGCTCAATAACTTAGACTGGGATGAGTCGATTCCGATGCATTTGGAAACAGAATGGAATATGATAAAGATTACACTGTCAAATTTAGAAGAAATATCAATTCCCCGGTTTGTGCATACCGACCCGATGTCACCGGTCCAATAACATGCCTTTGCCGACGCAACCTTAAGAGCTTATGGAGCTTGCGTCTACATTCGTCGCAAAACTGCAGAATGTTATAAAGTATCATTGTTGACTTCAAAGTCAAAAGTAGCGCCGCTCAAGACTAAGACGCTTACAAGACTTGAGTTATGTGCCGCTCACCCTCTCGCAGATCTCTGTCACAGAATCAGGCCCTTATTAAAGGTACCTATCGAACGAATTGTTTATTGGTCGGATTCTGAAGTTACGCTTCATTGGATCCGATCTCAGCCATCTTCGTTGTCCACATTTGTATCGAATAGAGTTGCGGAGATTCAAGAGGACAACCTTCCGCCCCAACAATGGCTCCTGGGGAGAATCATCGCCAGGCACGCAGGGGAGGACGGCATGGACGGCACGTCGACGTCGTCGACGTTAGGACGGGCGCAGGAGGCGTTTTTCGGCGAGCCATCCATAAATTGGCGCCGCTTCCCATTTGTTGAAGCCTGAAGCGTTTAACGGGGCCGGTGTTGAGAGATTTTGAATTTGTACTTGAAGTTTGAAGATTAGTGTAAGTTAGTTTAGGACGAAGGCGGGTGCACAATAAAGTTCTCTCTCGCTCTCTGCGAATTCGCCCCGTCTTCGTCAACTGTCGTTAAGCTAGGCTCTAAGAACTTTAGATCGACCACACGCATTATTTCTCGTTTTCGTTTTCGCCTTGCCTAAAATTAAAGTTTACTGCCACCAAAATATTCGGTTTCAGTTTTTATACCCTTGTAGAGGGTATTATAATTTCAGTCAGATGTTTGCAACGCAGTGAAGGAGACGTTTCCGACCACATAAAGTATATATATTCTGGATCAGCACCAATAGCCGAGTCTATCTAGCCATGTCCGTATGTCCGTCAGTCCGTTTCTATGCGAACTAGTCTCTCAGTTTTAAAGCTATCGCGATGAAACTTTCCCGAAAGTCTTCTTTATATTGCAGGTAGTACATATGTCGGAGCGAGCCGGATCAGACCACTATATCTTAAGGCTCCCATAGGAAAATGCAAACTAATATAAGAAAATTCATTGTAACTTTGTAGGAAGTAGGCGTTTTGATTCTTGACTACTTATGTATAAAAAAATTAAAATAGAAACGCTGAATCTGGAATCCCTGGAACTGCACCGAGTAAGCATTACTTTATCTACAAGGGTATATAAGCTTCGGCTGGCCGAAGGTAGCTTCCTTTCTTGTTTATATTTAGAAAAACTATTCTAAATTTTCATGGGTCAAATCTCAGAATCAATCGAAACTTTTTTTTTCGGTAGAGGATTAAAATATAAAGATCGGTTTTTTTATACCCTTGCAGAGGGTATTATGATTTCAGTCAGAAGTTTGCAACGCAGTGAAGGAGACGTTTCCGACCCCATAAAGTATATATATTCTTGATCAGCATCACAAGACGAGTCGATCTAGCCATGTCCGTCTGTCCGTCTGTCCGTCTGTCCGTCTGTCCGTCCGTCTGTCCGTCTGTCCGTCTGTCCGTCTGTCCGTCTGTCCGTCTGTCTGTTTCTACGCAAACTAGTCTCTCAGTTTTTAAACTATCGGGATGAAACTTTCCCAAAAGTCTTCTTTCTATTGCAGGTAGTATATATGTCGGAGCCGACCGGATCGGACAACTATATCTTATAGCTCCCATAGGAACAATCGGAAAAAAAAACTTTAAAAAATTCTAGCTTCGGTGTTTTTTGAAATATTACCTTCTACTTTTGGGGATGTTATTTTTTAAATATATCTGAATTTCGAATTAATTATTTAAAAAATCGGACTACTATATCATATAGCTGCCATAGGAACGATCGGAAAATTAATGGAAAAGTAATAGGAAATAAATTCTAGCTTCTTTGGTTTTTATTGTATTATCTTCTACTCTAGGATATGACTCTTTTTAAATATTTCCGAATTTCAATTTTAATTTAATTAAAATCGGACGACTATATCATATAGCTGCCATAGGAACGATCGGAAAATTAATGAGAAATATTAGAAAATTGAACATTTTTGCGATTTGTTTATTAATAGGAATGATCTGCAAGGGTATATAAGCTTCGGCTGGCCGAAGCTAGCTTCCTTTCTTGTTTTTAACTCAAAAAAAAAAAAATATTTTTCTAATTAAGCTCCGATTTTTAAATTATGCAGCACTTAAGACTCGTTTCAGATATTTAAATATTTGGTATGAAACTTTGTGGGACATCTTAATATCTTTCAGAAAAATATTTTTAATTTTTAAATTAAGTATTCTTAAGGGAATTTCAAATTTAAAAAAATTCTGTACGCTGATCCTTATATTTCAATCATCTATCAAATAAAAAAACATTTTCGATTGATTCTGAGACTTGACCCAAATGGGCCTGTCACGTTTCACGTGGAATTACCCATAACGCCTGTTTACAAAAAAAAATTGATGAAATATACCATGAAAGAAACCTTTGTTTTCCGGTAAGACACGTTTTTCTGATTAAGAAAATGGAACTTACATTTTTTTTTATGGATCAAATTTTTTTTTAAGTGTAAAAAACGAAATAATCGAGTTGAGGTGAACCGATTTCAACCATAAAAGACTCGTTTTACAGGCGATAGAATGCCCTCCAACTTTTTTTTAAACTGAATTGAGTTCCATTCAATAGTTTAGAAGCTACACTTCGTCAAACTTGAAAAAGTTTGAAAAAATGCAAAAATGCTAGCATAAATGGCTTCGTTAAAAATACACGCCTAAAAACCGTTATTATTTTATAATTCTTACTGGTAGAGGGAGCTTGGACAAAAAAACAAGCTATTGATCATTACAAACCACCAGCAAATTAATTTTATATGCATTTTTGAAGCTGGCGGCAACGGTGTTTTTTTTGGCCGTTTACAGCTGTTAACTGACACAACAGGGCTCTAACAGGGCTGTAATACCCGTTTTTTCCAACGTAAAAAATGGTCTTGTTAGTTGACTTTTAGGCGTGTATTTTTAACGAAGCCATTTATGCCAGCATTTTTGCATTTTTTCTAACTTTTTCAACTTTGACGAAGTGTAGCTTCTAAACTAATGAATGGAACTCAATGCCATGTATAAGAAAGTTGGAGGGCATTCTATTACCTGTAAAATGAGTGTTTTATGGTGAAATCCGTTTAACACAACTTAAGTAAGTAATTAAAAAAGTGTCAAAAACGTTTTTTTGCACTTAAAAAAATTGGCTCCATAAAAAAATGTAAAGTGCCATTTTCTTAATCAAGAAGAGGTACCTTACCGGAAAACAAAGGTTTCCTTCATGGTATATTTCATTGATTTTTATACCCGTTACTCGTAGAGTAAAAGGGTATACTAGATTCGTGCAAAAGTATGTAACAGCTAGAAGGAAGCGTTTCCGACCCCATAAAGTATATATATTCTTGATCAGGGTCACTAGCCGAGTCGATCTAGCCATGTCCGTCTGTCCGTCTGTCTGTCTGTCTGTCTGTCTGTTTGTCTGTCTGTCTGTCTGTCTGTCTGTCCGTCTGTATGAACGCTGAGATCTCAGAAACTACAAAAGCTAGAAGGTTGAGATTTCCCACACATATTCTTTGGCTTCCTACGCAGCGCAAGTTTATTTTAGCCGAGCGCCACGCCCCCTCTAACGCCCACAATCGCCCACTAACGATTTTAAAATGGGTCCTGCGCCCACATCTTTAAAGATGTAGAAGACATTTTTCAAATCGGACCATTCATTAAAAAGTTATACGGAATCAAAAATTATATATCTATCTCCCTCGCACTCCCTTTAGCTGAGTTACGATTATTAGTCGGGACACCAACCCGACACAGCGTTCGCACTCCCTTTAGCTGAGTGACGGGTATTAGATAGTCAAGACAACAACCCGACTATAGCGTTCTCTCTTGTTTTTTTGTAAACTGGTGTAATATGTTTGTGTTTTGGTATGTAAATAAATTGATTTTGTGAGTATGGGTTTTACCCTCCTCACATTTTACCATAGTATTAAAATATTGTGTAAGTTACATTTTAATCCTAGTAATAAATATACGCGCGCAAGTGGTGCCCGTGTTGATCAGCAAGATTGGTCAGCTGGCTAGTCGGGGCGAATGCCGATAGTATCGATAAGTTATCGTTATCACCCGTGAGCGAGCCAAAGCGTGCTGTTAAGGGCAAACTTCGTGCTGTTAAGGCGCAAAGCGCGCTGTAAAAGCACAAGCGTGCAGAAAAGCGAAAAAGCGTGGAGCTGAGCTCGTTCTCTTTCATGAGCGACAGCAGAGCTGATCGGACCACATCGACGAGGATCGAAAGCTCATGGCGGAGACAAGTCGTAAGGGTTCCCGAAGTAAGTTAGAGTTGTAGCATGGACAACTTGAGTGAAAATAAAGAAGGGCCCAACTTTGTGAAATTATGCCCCGAGCCTTGTCAATAAATCAGTGAATTCCGCGCAGTATTTTGGTCAGCTAGGTTACCGAGTTGCGTCTCCGAGGTTTTCTTTACGCAACGCGGACGCCAAAGCTGCCCACGTGCTAATTCATGTGGGTCAAGTTCTCGTATTGCGTCTCCGAGGTTTTCTCTACGTACTGTAGAAAAGCGCGGGAAACTATCTATTGTTTTTAGAAATTTAACTGCAGAGGGCTCTGGATGGACTGAAGTCTATCCCAACCAAAAAAAGTACTTACAATTTATTATTAGTTTATATTTTAATTTTAGACTAAAGAAGATGAACGAAATGTAATGATGCTGCCCTTTGAAGTTACGGAATCTACTGACCCCATTGATGAGATTGAAGAAATTAGAAGACGAAAGCGATCTATTGAGCAAAATCATAGTTTTGCAAAGGTTCGTATAAAACCAACATTTTAATTTAAAGGTTGTGTTCAATAAGATTTAAATTTCTAGGGTAGGGTCTTCGGAACCAAAAAATCTACTAACTTTGCGATTTTTTCTAAAAAACTTGTTGGATGGATTTATTTCAACCCTTTACATATTATTAAGTGTCATTTAAATAACATTCACTAATTTTTATAGCCGATACTATCGGCTAATATATCGGTGGCAAAGCGATTGCTGGAACACAATTAAAAATGCGTTTTGCGGTGTTCACTGTACCTCCGCTAAAAATGATCGGATTTCCATTTTGTTTTTATATTTCGCTTAAGAATTTAAAAAAAAAACCCGCCCCTGGGAAGCTCTTTTTTAAAATTTTTATTTTTGAGATTTTTTTTCGATATTCCAAAGTCAAGAATGCATTTTACTCCTTAAAAATTAACTTTTGGCCTAATAAAATATATTTAAAGTTAAACAAGAAAGAAAGCTATCTTCGACCAGCCGAAGCTTATATACCCTTGCAGATAAAGTAATGCTCACTTGGTGCAGTTCCAGGGATTCCAGATTCAGCGTTTCTATTTTAATTTTGTTTATACATAAGTAGTCAAGAATCAAAACGCCTACTTCCTACAAAGTTACAATGACTTTTCTTATATTTGTTTGAATGTTCCTATGGAAGCCTTAAGATATAGTGGTCCGATCCGGCTCGCTCCGACATATGTACTACCTGCAATAGAAAGAAAACTTTCGGGAAAGTTTCATCGCGATAGATTTAAAACTGAGAGACTAGTTCGCATAGAAACGGACAGACGGATAGACAGACAGACGGACAGACGGACATGGCTAGATAGACTCGGATATTGGTCCTGATCAAGAATATATATACTTTATGTGGTCGGAAACGTCTCCTTCACTGCGATGCAAACATCTGACTGAAATTATAATACCCTTCACAAGGGTATAAAAATAAAAAAACGCTTCCCATGGGGCGGGTTGATCCGTTTAGAAATGCCGATGAACACGGACTTTCAAAACGTGGTTTCCAGACTTTTTTTCATATGGAGTTTTTTGTTTTGGACGACTTTTTGTTGGGTTGAGTACTAGCCCTTAAAGATGAGTCAAAATCTCTCAAATGGGCCACCCCCGATTCGAAGGTCCGACTTTCGTCAAACTTGTTTATTTTTCCGGTTCACAACGACAAAAAAAAAACTTCATCTGAACGGTTTTGAGAAATTTTGAGTTTCAACGGAGTTATAGGGGTCAGAAAATATCATTTATAGCGCATTTTCAAAAAAGGTGCAATCATTCTTTTTTGTATATTTTCGAAACGGTAAAGATATCTTTATGATGTTTTCGCTAATCGACCAAGAATTGTATTAGCTCTTCATAAAAAAAATACTACAACTTTTTTAAAAATTATTTTGGCCAAAATGTATTTTTTTTCAGTTTTTTTCACGAGCTACAGAGTTCAAAACCATTTAAAAATTAAGTTTAATTCATTTTAAAAAAGATTAAAAAAATTGGTGTGTCAGCCTACGCACGACAGAAGTGAAACTTGTAATATTCTCTCGTTTATCATTTCATTATCTCTTTTTCTCTGACTTAGGTTAGTTTAAGATTATATGTTAAATAATTTAAGGACGAAGCATCGATTTGGTTTTTTTCTTATTTATTAATAACACAGGTACACAGCCAAAAATTTCCACGAACCATTTCAAGTTTTCCATGATATTTGGGTGCTCCTGAGTAAAAGTCCCATACAAAATTATTTTCCATCACCTACAGGTTCCGCGGTATAGCTAAGAATACAAAAAACCGATTTTTGCCGACATTTTGAATTACGTGGCCTATATAATTGGACCAACCTTTATTATTTTCGGTAGGACCTACTCTCAATACATCAAGGCATTCCTAAAAAATAGTCCCCATTGTGAACCATTGCCCATGTCTTTGGAATTCGACGCCAAAGTTGAAAATCCCAAAATTGTAGAGATTTTTCTGATGGAAAAACAATTCTGAGGATTAAATCTTGAATGGAAGTAATTTTAACTATTCATTGTATCTATTGTTCATTGTATGCTTTAATTTCGGTTTAAAGCGATTTCATGAGAATATTTTTTATTGGATTTATTATACTAATAAAACCGTTTTTTTTATTTCATTATCTACTCCTAAATGTTGTCAAATTTTGAATAAGTCATGGCAACCTCTAGAACTAAGAAACTAAAATACGTTCACTGAACATACACAGAGAAATGTAAATGTTTACTCCCATTCTGTAGGATGCCTTGACTTTTTTAAAATTTGACAACATTTAGGAGTAGATAATGAAATAAAAAAACGGTTTTATTAGTATAATAAATCCAATAAAAAATATTCTCATGAAATCGCTTTAAACCGAAATTAAAGCATACAATGAACAATAGATACAATGAATAGTTAAAATTACTTCCATTCAAGATTTAATCCTCAGAATTGTTTTTCCATCAGAAAAATCTCTACAATTTTGGGATTTTCAACTTTGGCGTCGAATTCCAAAGACATGGGCAATGGTTCACAATGGGGACTATTTTTTAGGAATGCCTTGATGTATTGAGAGTAGGTCCTACCGAAAATAATAAAGGTTGGTCCAATTATATAGGCCACGTAATTCAAAATGTCGGCAAACATCGGTTTTTTGTATTCTTAGCTATACCGCGGAACCTGTAGGTGATGGAAAATAATTTTGTATGGGACTTTTACTCAGGAGCACCCAAATATCATGGAAAACTTGAAATGGTTCGTGGAAATTTCACAAAGTTTAATTTTGTGTTCCTGTGTAAGTATACAATGTTACATAAATAACAATATTACAATTAAAAATTAGAATAGAGTTAAATAATTCTATTATTTTTAAGATTTTTTTAATATTCCTCAAAAATAATGATTATTTCATCAAAATAATCATTAATTCTGATCGGAAAAAATAAAACTCAAAAATAATGATTATTGTTGATTTTTATATTTTTTTAACAAAAATAAAACTCACTTGGACGCCGCGAGTTTTCTATACCGATTTTGGACATTCTTTTTACATAGTCCTTGTGAGGGTCGTAAAACTCCCCACAAATCTCGAGGCAGGAGAGCCCCTAGCAACAGCGAAGGCAGCGAGAATGCGGCAGACTCCAAGGGCGTCCAGGTCCACCGGTAAAATACTGGACCTTGGACCCGGCCAAAGAGGATGCACCGTGAATTAACGGGACATCTTGGACCTTGGACCCGATGCGTGCCGTGTGCAAAGGGAACTAGCGGGACACATTTGGACATTGAATCCTAGCGAGCCGTGTGCAAAAGGGGAAATAACGGGACCACGCTGCAGCCTATAAAAGGTCGGCGCAGGCGCAGCTCGAGAGAGACAACCAAGATACGCGAGCGGAAGTACATGTGAAACAAGTGAGCCAGATACCAAGAATACAAGTGCGAGGATTCAATCGAGTGCGTGGCAGTTAGAGTACCGTAGAAACCGAGTGCTTAACGCCCAGATCGAGATACAAGAGTCAAGACGCTAGGCCAAGGCTGAGACTGCAACGGTGAGATCTGCAGGGCGCAGAGACTGGAGTGGAGACGAGTGCAGGTCGAGAGAAGGACGAGCTACCGGCAAGGTGAGCGCGGATCAAGAGTTTGTGCCAGGCGTCGGGGTTACGGTGAACTGACGATAAGGCCAAATTCCCGGATTTGACTTGTCGGGACATATGTTTCTCAGGCTAGAGCCAGACCGACCTCAGGGAGCACGACGAAACAGGTGATTCCAGGATCATTCTGGTCGGACCCGAAGGAAGGTTATGCAGACTTTTGAGTCCTACAAGCCGGGTGGAACGCACGAAGGGATACAAGAGCAGCGTCGCCGTCGAGGAGCGCCGCCGAGAAACGCACGAAGTGAATCTCAAGCCGAGGAAGGCACGTCGCCGACCAGGCGAGCCGCTACAGCCAGCTGACGAAGAACCCAATTCCAGCGAAAAGAAAAAACTTAATAAAGTTTTCCGATTTGTCCCAATCGGATATCTCTGCATTTTCTTGGGTCACGGGCAGTCACGCAATACAAATTTGGTGGGACGAACACACAATATCTCTGAGCTAGTCGCGGCGTTTACGTAGCGATCCAACAGTTGAAAACAGTTCGTTACATCTGGCGCCCAAGCGTGATTGTCCCGACCAAGAAAGTAGATAGATGATGGGCAAGTCGTGGCTGTATGCCCTCAAAAGGGATGACTTACCCGCCATTGCAGCCGCCCTTGAAATCAGGCTAGAGGGTCTCGTGGAGGACATGAGAAAAGCACTGTCGGAGTTCATAGACCGCACAACCAAAGAACCGAAGACAGTTGCCATCCTCGAAGCGTTGTGATTTTCATCTCGGGAGTCTTCTTTCCGTATTCCCTTTCATACGGAAAGAAGACTCACGAGATGAAAATCACAGGCGCAGAGGGCTTGGTGAGCAGTTTGGACGTCCAAAGCCTCAGGGACGCCGGCAACCAGGAGCGACGAAACTCCACTCAAAGGGAGAACAGTCGGGAAAGGCAGGAGGACTCCGATCAAAGGATGGACAGGGCCAAGACGGAAGTGTCGGACTATGCCAAGGTGGCGAAGCAGGTACGAGAGTGGACCTTTAGGTACGACGGCCACGATAAACCCCTGGAGTTCCTAGAACAAGTAGAGTGGTCAGCGGTGACGTACGGGCTCGAAGCCAATCTAATCCCCAGAGCCCTCGAGTGGTTTATCGCCAACAACAAATTCTGGGAGACCTGGGCAGTCTTCTCCCGGAGCTTCAAGGAATTCTTCCTGCCCAGGGGCTTCATGATGAAACTAGCCGATCAGGTCAGGCAGAGGAAACAAGTCTTCAATGAGTCGTTTAAAGACTACATGGTAGACATGCAGACCTTGATGCGGCTCCTGGCTATGTCCCGAGAAGAGGTCCTGCAGAGGATAATAGAGAACAGCACACCGGCGCTGCGGATATTCATTCGCCCGTACGAGTG